AAGCCTGGTGGGAGAGGGATTTTACCTGAGCTCACTGAGCCAGCTCTAAAAAAGACTTGTTCACACTCTTGTTTTTCTCAAATGAACCTGAAGGGTAGAGTGTTTCTGCCATTATGTAGTCATGCCACCTCAGGCAGGTCACTGGCTCTCTTGGTCTGAGTTTTCACGCCTCTGAAATGAAGAGGTTGGACTAGATAATATCTGTGTTCTCCCAGCTTTAGCAGAGTCTACGATTCTTTACTTTTGTTATTGTTTTTGGAGTTTATTTTATAATTTCTAATGTTGCTAAAATTGCTTGCTAGCACAATAACGGACACCCAGTAGACATCAATTATCTGTCTCTGTTTCATGTAAAAACTAGGTTACTGAAACGTGTGACGTAGTGCAGCGATTTTCAACACGTGTGCGGCAAGAACTTCCTAAACATGCAACCCCCGACTCCTCAGCCAGGGCCCTGGCCTCCGCTCCCTTAGAGGATCAAATAAAAAATGTCAACAGGCAGCCCAGCAGTAGCCGTCCTGTGGGAATGAATCAAAATTATACTAATTACCGTACATATGGTTTGATCCAGTTATGTTGTGCTCATATTTTGCTTGTACTTTTTCCCAAAATAATTGGATCAAACCATATATACTGTTATGTGAGGACCAACATATCCCACATCATACTCTCATATACAACAAGGTTTTAAAGTTCTTCTCAGTTTCAGGGGAAAATGGACGCTGAAGCCCACCGCTGGTGGAGAGGGGTGTGACGGGAGCGTGCAAGCAGTGATGGGGAGCCCAGGAAGGGGCCGGGAACCCTCCTGGGAGCTGACAGTTGAATCTTGAAGGGTGTCAAGTTTGCCAGGTTGGGAGAGCAGAAAGCTTCTCCCAGAACAAGTAGCCTATGAGAAACTACTGAAAACCTTGATAGGCCATAGCCTGTTGGAGGCCAGGGAGGACTCCAGGGGGTGTGGGAGTGGGTGGGGTTCCACTCAATAGGAGGTGAAAGGCAGGGGAGGTCCCTGTTATAAACTGCGTTGCTTGCCAGGGGGTGGAGTAGGAAATTGCTCCTGTTGATAGTGGGGAACCAGGGACTTGGTGGAATCAATGCTCCCTTACCTGAAAGCAAGTGTTACTGAATGAGGAGAACCCAAACCCAGCTTTCCTCTTTCCTTAAGGATAGATTTTTTTTTTTTAATCTAGTGCATCAGCCCTAGCTGGTTTGGCTTCATGGACAGAGCACTGGCCCTTGGACTGAAGGGTCTCAGGTTTGATTCCAGTCATGGGCACATAACTGGGTTGCAGGCTCGATCCCTGGCCCTAATGGGGGCGCGTGTGGGAGGCAACCAATAGATGTACACCTAGCAGATGTTTCTCTCTGTCCCTCCCGCTCCCTTGCACTCTCTCTAAAAATCAATGGGAAAATATCCTTGGGTGAGGATTAACAAAATAAATAAATTTATTTTAAAAAAAAACCTAGTGCTTTAAAAAATCTTCAAGTACAGGCCAAATGCAGTCCTTATAAATATTCCTCTGAAAATGCTCATAACTGCGGCAGAAGCCTTGTCAGCGCCCTGTGGAGTTCTTCAGCAGCATGCCCTGATACTCCCCAATGCCCAGGGCTCCTGCACTGGCAAAGGCGTCCGCAGAGAGCACCTGGCAGGAGTGGTTGAGGCCGCTGTCCTCCGGAGGAAGGAGTGCGCTGATCCTGCCAGGGCCTGCGGGAGGGCTTTGATGAGGAGGAAAGCTGTGGATCCCTATCCTGGACAGTTTGGGGTGTGGGGTTTCCCCCACAGAATCCATTGTTTCTTAACCAGCTCCTTGTGCGCCACCCCGTGGGGAAGTGCTAGAATACAGCTTTGAAGGCTTTTGAAGGGTGCATCCAACTGAGCCTGCCTTCCTGGAGTTTCTGATCTGCTGTTGCAAGCGCTCTGTCTCTCTAAGGATGTCAGGAGACATCCCAGGGGCAGCTTCTCTCCTGCATTTGGGGCTGCAGGGTGTGTGAGGAGGCACCGGTCCTGGCTTTTCACAGACTAGCTCAAGGGCTTCGGATAAGCCCCCTGTGCGCTCTCAGACAGTTCCCTCTTCCACTTTGTTGTTCTTGTTGTTTGTTTCCCTACTTCTAGTGCCTGCAGTCTTTAGTGACGAAAGTGTTTGAGTATTTATTGCACCTGTAATTCAAAGAGGCATGAGTCTGGGTGATGAAAATACATCTCTGGCATTTTGAAAATTCACGAATGACTTCGGCCATCCGTGATTACTATATATATGTCAGTATTAAATCAGTATCATCTGAATGCATATTCATAGGAACGTCTGGCCTTTGCACTCAGCCCTGAGTTCGAATCCCACCCCTGCCACTTCCTGTGTGGTTTTGATAAATTGCTCTCAGTCTCTGAGCCTGTTTGCGCCTCAGTCCAAAGGGGTGGCAGTCTCACTTCACAGGGTTAGGGGAAGGGTTACATGATGTAATATGGGCACCGCAGGGTAGAGGTGGGGCTGTCTCGGAGGTTAGAGAAGGCACCCTAAAAAGGGGCATTTCAGCCAAGACCCAAAGGCACAGAGAGGTCACACAAGGGTAGTGAGTGCAGAAGTGGGATCTAAATGTGGGTGAAAGAGGTGGCCAGTTCAATTCCTGGTCAGGTCATATGCCTGGGTTGTGGGCTCAATCCCCAGTGTGGGCGTGCAGAAGGCAGCCGATCGATGTTTCTCATTGATGTTTCTATCTCACCCTCTCCCTCTCTCTCTAAAAACCAATAAGAACATATTTTTAAAAATTGTAAATGTGGGTGAATTCAGTTCCACCATGCCTCATGGCCTCCCTTCCTCTAAATATTTGCATGTATGTCATTGAATTTTTTTTTATTGTTTAAGTCCTCACCTGGGGAGATGCCCCATTGATTTTAGCAAGAAAAGAAGAGAAAGGGAGAGGGAGAGGAAGAAACATCAATTGGTTGCCTCCTGCACACACCCCAAACCAGAGATCAAACCTGAAATCTGGGTATGTACCCTGACCTGGAATTAAACCCACAACCTTTCAGTGTACGGGACAATGCTCCAACCAACTGAGCCACACTGGCCAGGGAATGTTATTATATTTTAGCTTGTGATCTATAGCTCTTTCTCCAAGATAGAGTATAACTCCTTGCAAACAGCAACCTCATCTCCCAGGCACCTGCTACATAGTACAAGTAATAGGCCTAAATAGATGCTCATTAATTATTCAGTTTATGTATCTGTACATACTTGCATGCATTTAATAATCTTCTAGAGGTGCTAAATTCTTCTCTGTACTAGTATGTTCTGTTATTTCTTTAACCAACACATTGTTATGTTTTCCAAGAGTCTCTGAGCACCTGGACACACCCATGCTCAGGCTCCTTTTACTCCTATTTTCTAGGCTGGGGTCACCCAGGGCCAGTGTGCAAGGGGTGCAGCCTCTGGCATCAGTTCTGCAGCAGGTGGGACTTGGACGCAGCTCATTCATCTACTAGAAATGACATTGAACGTGTCCGGCCAAATGCTGCACAGGGCAGGGCTCATTGCAGCCTGCCTTCCGGGCCCTGGATGAGGAAAGAGGAGCCGCCGCCCTGTGCCAGGCACTGCGCAAAGTGAGGGACACATGGTGGAAGCACATGTGTGATCGAATGAGAGTTTCTTTTTCCTGACAGTCGCTCACACTGGCGAAGGCCCATAGTCCGTGCACACACACAGAGTATGGACCAGCTCATTGCATGCAGGACTCCAGGTGGGCACAAGCGGGGGGAGTGGCTAGCTTCACAGTGGGGTGGGAGGGAGTGTAGGAAGGTGTGCCAGGCAGTGAATTGCTCTTGCTGATTGGGAAAAATTATGGCGAATAGCCAAGGAAAGAGGGCAGGATGTGGTAGGAGCAGGCACAGACGAGAGGCTCAGCCTGTGCAGAGGCCCAGAGACTGAGAACGGGTGGCACCTTTAGCCCCTGAACATGCCCACGAGAGCCAGCCGGGCGGTAGGTGGGTAAAAGGCAAGGTGGTTGGCTGCATGTCAGACCCATTAGTATAGTCTGCATTTCCAGTAAGAAATGTCTTCCCTCCTGCTTTTCTTGACTTATACCCACTTAGACTGTGCTTCATGTTTTCAATCTTTGATGGAAACTTAGGTAAAGAGAAATTATTCTCCAAGAAACACAGCAGCATAAATCCAACGATCCTATCCATCCGTACGTGGTACTTGGTTCCTGATGGCGAGACCAGTGGGAGTGGCGGGGCCCGGGGTAACCTGGAAAGCATGTCCTGCCTCTGAAGGGGCAACTTGTGCCGAGCCAGCTCAGTCGGGTTCGGTGAGCCTGAGAGGGGGCGGGGAAGGATGGAGAAAAGACAGACAAGAGAATGAAAGCTGGGTCAGGGTGGGACGCTGTCCTCTCTGATGGAGAGCTAGCGACAGTGCCACGGACTGCAAGCCGTGTCTTTATTTTATAGCCAGATTCCACGAGGCAAAGTAAGGGTGTGGTTACATTGTTACAACGTTCTCGTGGGTTTTGAATCTTCTCAGTTACATGCACCTGAACTCTATCAAGCCCACATCACTCAGGCACGTGGGGCCACGTGTTTGGACCATAGGTTCAAGCTTTCAACTACAGCTGTTGGCTATAATTGTGCTGGGAGGACCCTGCCCTCCAAGCTGGGACTTGCACGTGGCCATGGAAGGACTGTGCCCTCCCATTAGTCTGAGGCTTGAACCTGTCCAAACACTGTAGCCGCTCTCCACAGCAGCTGGCGTTAAAGGGTCTTGCAATATTTCAGAAAAAGCAAGCAACCTGGATTTTCAGCCAGTTAGTTGTGTTTTTTAAGATGCTTTGATTAAAACAAACAAACAAACAAAAATGAAACAGAAGCCATCTGCAAGCCAAGCCTTATTCATGGCCATGCTTGCAGCATCTTGCTCAAAGGCTCCAGAGGTCACAGGGGTATGTCAGACCCTCCCACAAGCCACCGCAATGCCTTCAGTTCCCTAACCGCCCTTCTCCTTGCTTTTCAGAAGGAGATGACCAGCCGGATGTGTCACTAGCGCCCCACCCTACCCTGCGGAAGAGAGAGGGCAGCTGCTCGCTCCTGGAGGCCCAGGTGGGCGGGAGGAGACCTGGCTGAGATGGCGCTCGGACTTCCAGGAGCCAGAGAGGGGGACACTGAGGTGACTCCCGACAGACACGCCCCTCACTTGTGCGTCTTAACCCTGAGTGCTGCTAGCCTCGCCCTGCGGAATGGCCACCCGCTGCACGAGAGAAGGACCCACCCCTGTCCGCAGGAAGCCTCCAAGCCCGAGCCCCGCAGCCCTGCCTGGGCCCGCGCTGGGCCGGATTCGGGCTGTGAGACTGAGACACGGTGTGTGCTTTCCCTCCTCTGTCTTGTCCGCCGGCCGACTTTTCCGTCTGTGTGTTCTAAGTCCCGAGTGCATTTGGATCTCTGGGTGCCCTGCGAGTCTGTCTAAAACAAGCCTTCCTCCCCTTCGGTCCCTGCAAGCTCCCGCCCTGCTCCCGTGGCCTGACTGTGCGCAGGGCTGTGGAGCTGGAGACGCCAGGCCCCAGCAGCATCCACACCGGTTCCCTAACAGGCATCCTATCAGGGACACTCCGCGGGGGGCTGTCCCCTGCCCCCGGCGGGGTCTGCACACTTACCTACAGGGAAGAGCCTGGTTTCTAGACACCAGTTCACCCTGAACCGAATGTGTTTTTATAACCACGCCATTCTTTCCACTTAACATGTTGGGTCCTGTTTCCCAGAAGAGAGGGAGGGAAGGAGTTATAAATGACCAGGGATGGTCAGCAGAAGCCCTGAGCCAGATTAGTGCCGTGTTTGTTCTTCATTGGGGGGGTGGGGGGAGGGTGGTCATGGCTGTCGTTGCGTAATACCAAATTTCAGTGAAAAAAAACAAAAGTATAATTGGCTATTGGTGCATGGAGCTCAGACTCCCGGGCACGGCCTTGTAACCTTCCTGGATGGCCCTCTGAGCTTCTGAACCCAGCCAATGCCCGCTTCCTCGTCCTCCACCCTCTCCCGCCTCTGCTGTATTACATGATGGCCTGAAATTAACTTCTGCCCCAATGATTGTGCCACAGTTGCCAAGGTAACCGTGGAGCTGCAGCGCACTTCCTTCTCCCATCCTCCCCAAGTTTTCCATTCCAGTAGACAGGATGCCCACTCTGGGCTACTTCCTGCCTGTTGAAACCCAGGTGAGTGTCACTTCCCTGATTCATTCACCACGCGGTGGAGGCCGCGGACGCCTGTGACGAGGTGGTAACTACACTTCCAATGAGCCTTTGGATATGGCAAAACAGCCGTTGGTGGAGGGAAGTAGAAACGAATGTATTAGTGCATTGTAATGTAGTACCGATTAAAGAATAACTGAGCAACTCTGATTTCTGTTTCATTATACATAACATATTAAAGCTACAAGAGCCTAAGAGCATGAACTCGTTCTTCGTCCAGACTAAGAAAGGGCTGAGGGTCTGGGCTCGGTGGCATTCTGCATTCCCAACCCAGCCCTTACTTTGCTTCTCGTCGAAGTTGTCTCATGGAATCCAAATGCTGCTACCTCTCTCCGTGTGGTTGTGCTCTGGCCAGCAAAACTCACTGCCCTTTTATGTTTGAGGGGACAAGACAGGCAGAGAAGTTTCAGCTTCATGTGGGGCTGAAAGAACACCTGACTGTCCTAGAGACCCAGAGAAACAGGAACAAGAGCCCCTGCAGGACCACCCACAGCAAGTGCCGTGGGGTGCGCGCTGGGACAGAGCGGGACCTGGAGGAGCTCAGAAGCCCGGACCTGGGACAACCACGGGGCTTTGCATTGAAAATGGACTGCATT